AGTTAGTTTCGTCCTGCGGGGCCTTATTCTTGAGCTTGTGTCGTTCCCTTGTATAGACTCCTGTCGCTCTAGACCTGGTGTGTCCATTGTCGAGGTTTGCACACAATTTATCCTTTATTATTTTTGCTTAATAGTACCGTACCACCTTGATAGTTGTTATCAATGGTTTTGGCGTACGCGTGAGTGCTGGATACAGTCGGAGAAGTCAAGGGACGAAACAGTGTTACTCTGATACCTTTACACATACTAATAAGACTAGGATCAGTAGATATTTTTGTTAACATTAACTCTGTCTCGGCTGAAAAGGTACTACTGCAAGTGCAGTGTACGTGTTGTTCGCTTCAGATTCATAACAAGGAGTGGGCATTATGATAGTCGGTGAGATTTACTTATATGGCCCTCTAAACATGAGAACACATGGTGCTCGCAATACAGACGGCTTTGCGCCACCGTCCAGAAAAAATTGGAGTTATGTTCAAGGTCAGTAGTAAAGTTAAGCTTAGTGTCAAGGTTGGGGGTAATATTACCTAAAAGTTTAAATTAGAATTCACACGATAAGTATGGTTATGGTTGAGCTAAGGGGATGTTGTTGACTATACTCTTGCGTTTTAGTCAAGGGTTTAGTTTAGACTCGCAAATGTTGGCTGATGAGCCAGAAGCAGTCACTTATTTGAATAAGAAATACACGACGGGCAGTTTCAAGGTGGTGCAACGCAAATCTCACTGGTATTGTTCCTTGGACATTTTTTCGAAAATGTTGAATTCGGCCTCTTTGGTGATTCGGAAGACGGCACTGACGTGGTAACTCTCGAGGACATTTCGATCGTTGTACAAGAGAGCAAGTTCCGTTCTGAAATTTGCAGAGAATGACGGGTTAGGCCGTAGCGCGAACTGTCCAAAATAAGGTAAAAAGAATTTTCAAGAGAAATAATCAGGAACACCACATCCGGGTCAGATCGTGCCTACCATCCCCCGTTTTAATGAAAACCAAAATAGCCGGACAGATAGAGAAGGGAAGAAATTTTGGGAAACAAAAATATTATTCTCAGCCCGCAAAACACACGGGTTGCTTCATGTCCGCAATATCGGCTTACTTCTTTCGAGCCCTGAACATTCTGCAACCCTTCGGTCTCTAGCAGATCGGTCGTTAATTGGTCCAGAATTCCTTCTTGGTTGACAGTGATTGGGCCGTTCATCTATGGGCAAAGGCATCACAATTGTTTGATGCTGATTGGCTCCATGGATTTCGCGGCCGACTTGGCCCGCCTGAGCACACGTGCTTGCGTTTTCCTTTCGCCTTCCACACAGTTTCCCTTCTCCATAACACTAGACAGAAGCCTATACTTTTAGGGTCTGGAGTTCGGAGTCCGAGTCGGGCACTCCGCGGATGAGAATGATATCGATGGTTCCATTGTGTTGCACTCGTAAGTGGGTTCAAGAACTTGCAGCTGGACCCTGAGCGAGGGATGTCATTGTTAGCGAGGGTCAAACTGTCTCGGGATGGGGTGGGTAGAGGGTGCTGCCTGGCGTCAAAACCAGTTAAATCAGCTTGAGTTGGTGCAGCAGTGATTTCGGTCAAGGCTGAGAAGTTCAAAGTATTGCTAGCGTCCCACCACAATTGTGATCAAATATTTTTAAATTAAAGTTAATTAAATTAACCTACAAATTATTTTATAAATGCACATATAAACCAGCATTTCGTAAGAAACCGGAGAATACCGCAGTTTCTAACTTTACAGCAGCAACTAAAGGTAAACAGGGGTATACGTAGTTCCTGCACCAACTTAGACCCATGAACTGAAGTAGTTGAAGAATACCATAACAGGAGGGAAAATCAACAAGCATATTCCCAGATGATTTTTAAATCTGCTCTATTGTGACTTTCTATTTTAAGTCCGTACAGAAATATTAGAGTACTATATGTTCGATTAAATATATTTGAGAGCAGTGTAGTTAAGTGAGTTTGATTCATGGCGGTTTGTACTCAGTAACTAAGAGGGTATATATTTGCTCTCAGTTTTTTCTTTTAACAGATATATTTTCAATAGGTCGAGATAGCAGAGGTTCCATCTTATTAAAAGGTGAACTTTTCTCTGCTATCCGTGAAGGTTTTAGTTTTTGCCACACACTTAGGTAAACATATATCATGTTTATCTATTAAAAACTTAATAGTAGATATTTATTATTGATGAGCTAAAGAGGCGGCTTTTGGAGGCTAGAACTGGGCGTTGTAGACAAACTTTTGCTGAAGAGCGAGGATGCCCTGGTAACCCCAAAAGTAAATTGAAACGAGAAGAGGTAAACTCACTGGGTTTGTACGTGGAAGTTGTTCGTCGTTCCTGTATGTTCAAAATCGTGAATGAGCGCCGCGTACACTACTGCGAAAACGTCCAAGTCGGTTAAATAGTCCTGCAAGGGGGAAAACGACTTTAGGACTTTGAAAACCTTTACTTACAGTCACGTGTGTACTTAATTACTGCTAGTACTAAAATAATATACCAAGAAATTACCCGAAGTCGGCTCATAGTCATAACTACGTGGCAGGTCTGAGCCACATCGGCAGCATGCACTAGATTGTGATAGGGGTTCTTGTACTTCGTATAACCGATCTCCAGTCGAAGGAGTAAGCTCTCCAGTCTGGTGGTGTCCAGCTTAAGGAATTAAAAGGTACCGCTTGTTTAGGAGATAGACAACTAGCCGGAAAATATATGCACAGCCTGACGCAATCTACGCACCTGGAATTTGGTGATGAGATTGTACTTGTGTAGGAGTTCGAAGCCGACGTACTTAAGTGCATGGTTTTCACTGACCTCATTGAACTCAAACACATCAAAGTTCCAGTCGTCTAGACCACCCTATAGAAAAAGAGGAGGAAAATAGAAGACCGTATAGAGGTAATATGTTAAACGTTAAGTTGTCCGCCACCTTAGATACTCCTAGCCCACAGTCCTGTCGTTGCTTTCAGTTTTATTAGTTTTTGTTTAGTTTTAATTTATAATGTAGGCTATTTTTTTAAATTTTCTCTTTACTGTAAGTCAATTGCCAACGTTAGGTAAGTATATTTTATTGACTTATGTATACTAAAATAAACCAACTAAACTTAGCTAAATTATACAAAATTAACTTAACTAAAAACTGAACTAAACCAAAACTACAATTAAACTAATAAACTATAAACTAAATTACAATAATACCACGGGTCCCGTAAAACAGAATCCTGGGACTATGGGCATCTAAAGGGGGCGACCATCTTAACTTTTACCGGTAATATGTTGAGCGCAAAAGCGCGTTCCACGCATTATCTCTGAGGACTCAGGACTCACCTTCAACATCAACATAAGATTTGGAGGAAGGGTAATGTTGCTACAGCTTGACATGCGTCGATATATTCTGCAGAAGAGGAAAAATGGAAGATTAACTACGAGCACTGTTCATAATTTATTGCGAAGTCCATTGATGAGGGAACTATAGGCACGAATTGCAATCTGTTGTCCCAGAATAATTGTATATATGCCTCTACAATCTGCATTCACATTCTTCCACCCAGTAAGCGAATTACTGTTTCTTGGTTTAATAATTTTTAAGAATTGTGTAGGATCTTGTGTGACAACGGGGGCACTTTTGAGACACATCTGCTTTTCTTACTCATGCAAAACCTCAAAATTTGCTTAAGATTGATTATCACTCGCAAAGTGGAATTAACGCCTATACGAATCCTTAACAATATTAATGACCAACCTTAAACGATAAACTACTTACTTTTTTATGCCACGAGATTGAATGAATGAGGTCACCTACTGCATAAATGTTGTAATATCTAATACAGTACATAGTGAGATACTAAAAATTCCTAGAGTAATCGAGAATTATTATTGGATGTGGAGGTTTCAGTTGTCATTTTCGGTTTATCTTCTTCTTCTGATTACAGCTGGAATCTTGCTCCCAGATCCAGGGAATCGCTGAGGTACACAGTCAATTACCTGGATGCTACCGAATAGAATTCAGATTTTAAAAAGGCTAGGTCAAAGTGAATTTAATCTATGATACCTGATCATTGTTCATTGACATTACTACTAAACCTGTTTTCAGTACGCGTTCTGGCGATCGAAAAAAATTGGGTGATTTTTAAGCAACTGTTTTGGCCGTAGGTGGGGGTGGTTATTGAGCTCGATGGAAATATTGGGTCAGGAAACCTTTATTACGCACCCGTACACGAAAAGCTTGGCTAAAGGGCGAAATCGTTTTCCATAATTGAAACGGACTGTAGGAAGGGGGCTTTACACTTAGAGATGTCGTTTTTGGTTTAAGTGTTAGAGGAGCTCCTTAAGCTTCATCCCCTGATTTCTTCGATTCGCACGCTTTTTGTTTGTGGTCCTCACCTCTTCCAGCCCTATTGGTTGGCCAACTTTCAGTTTCGGTTGACATTTACCTGCGCCACTCAACTTTCTCCTTTCATTCATAATTTACCATTGGCTCCCAATTCCCAGTTTGAACGATGTGAGACTATGCCAATTCATTATTTACTCACTTAAACAAACACATATTGCCAAGGTCTGCATCATACTGTTTAAGCTATTTTACATGGTTTATTCAAGCTTTCCCATTAAACGTCATCTGAAAACCCCCAATTATCAGGGTTCCCGTATGACACTAAACTACCTAAACGGTTTTCTCAGTGGTGGCGTTCAGTGTGTTTCCAACTCTATTGTCAATCCGCCTTACAGGTAAAGCCCCAAATGTCCCCTGTTTCTCCTTCCAGATTAATGAACTAACTGCAAGCACAATTGCGAACATTCTACGGTAACAAGTTTGCCCAAAACAGTCGCTTCCACGTGCCCGCTGCAACTTCCTAAATGTCAACTACGAGTCCCGAGTCTAACAACAAGTGCAACGACTTGCCCAATCCATATTCATTGCTGAGAGTCAGTTTGGCCAAGGCGATTCGCGCCTCAGGGAGCGCACAGGCAGTCATTTCTTCTAAAGCCGGTGTTAGGGCGCCAGAGGGCTGAGCAATCATCATACCCACGTCCAACATGGGTGATGACAAATCAGCGATTAACGGCTGGCACACCGGCCATCAAGCAATTTGCGCATAATCAGGCAACTATCCTCGAGGGGGGAAGCTGCTTTTTGTCATGAGTGTGCAGAAGCATAAGTACTACAACTCTCTGTGTATAAAGAGCCTGTTTCTGCTTTTTTCTCTGATGCTAAATTCGCGACGGAGTTCGAAAGGCCAGGTGAATAAAATTCCTGTCCCAGCGATCACATATATTTCCATGGAGAGTCAACTCTTTAATAAGTTGGAGGAAATGATCGCATCTCGCAGGCGGAATGCCAGCTTTTCTAGAATCGAAGGGGTTTGTGATCTCTATCAGAAACAAGTTTTTTACCCGTCTCACAACTCTATTAGAAGAGGCCTGTTCCTTGCAGCTGAAAGTGTTTGCGTGTCTTGGGGGGGGGAGGAGGAGA